CATGGTATCCCAAGTGATATTTAGGAAAAATATCTTTTGAAGTCGGTTTGTTGAATATGAAATGAATAAACAAAAGAACCATGATTGCCTTTCATTGTTTAAAGAAGATTGAGAGATGGATGCTCAAAAAGAGGCTTTGTGCTTTCCCTTTTAAATTATTTTATTTCCAGATGAGTTTTGTTACAACCACTATCTTCGAAGTAAACATTCCGCTCCGGTAGGAAAACTCAGATCCTATGGTTTATAATCTCTGTTTAGTGGGCGCTCTAATGGATAAACATAACAGTTTTGGGCTGACCCAGAGACTGAACCAAAAAAACCCTTGTCACTTATATACTGTTTTATAACTGTTATTTTTTTATAACTGTTATTCTACCCTGCAGTCTAGTTGGAAGTTCCAGTGTTGCTCTAGGTACTGCTTTCAGCATGCTTTCCACAGCTGCACGTGTGCAGCTCTTCCTGTCTCCCCACTGTGGCTATTTAATATTTGAGACTCCACACACAACTCACTTGGTATGAGTGCCATTTCATATTGCCCAAGGCATGATGCAAATCTTAATCTGAAGAGTAAACCCAGGACAGTTTTGTGATACTGAGCACCTTTAGTACTTCTGAGGATGGAAGAAGTGTCTGCATGAGCTCAATGATGGGAGAGGTGAATAAATTTTTCCAAGAAGTCCCAAGTATTTTTTTTTGTTGCTATTTAATTAGAAGAATTCTAATAATTTTATAAGTCAATTTTTATCTAAACTGAATGTAATAATCAAAAGCAGTGGAATCACCATCCCTGGAGGTGTTCAAGAAATGACTAGATGTGGCACTTAGTGCCATGGTCTAGTTGACAAGGTGGTGTTTGGTCAAAGGTTGGACTTGATGATCTTAATAGTTGTATGATTGTGTGATTATAAACTGAATTAAAAATCACAACTGAACAAATATTACGTACCACTTATCAGAAGGCAGAAGAGGTAACCCATGCATTCCACAACAGCAGTTCGAAAGATTCTGTGTTCACTTGGTTAAACTATATGTGCACTGTTAATTTACTATGACAGCCCCCAAATATTATTCAGCAAGTGGGCTGGTAAGACTGGAACAGTTTTTCTTTCTCAGGCTCAAAAGTCAGTTAGCAGGACTGATTTGAAGTATACGATCCATTATAAATGTGAGGAAGGAATAGTCTGCTTTCTGCTTCTTACGTGGGAATGAAAAGAGTCAATAAAGTGTGAGTGAAAACTGAGATAAAACATGTGAACTCTGACTTCTTCAGCTATTTCTTATACTCTGTAATACTTTGACAAAATATCAGAAACTGTTAATCTGTGGTTTCATTTCAGACATTATCAGAGGCATTGTGAGTTCTTCAGGCAAAAATTTAAGATTTCCGGGCTATTGAGAAAAGGTTAGAAAAGGAAAAAAACTATGAGTTCTTAGAAGTGAGTTCGCGAACTACATTTTTTTATTAGACATGATTTTAAAGTACATGGAAACTATGAAAAATGACAGCACTATAGCCAAGCCCCCCAAAATAAACATGATAGTAATAAAAAGTATCGTGTGTAATTGAAATGAAGCTGAGTAGTAACAAAAAAAGGAGAAATATCTATGCACTCTGTCCTATTATGTAAAATAAAAGTGTGAAAACAGTTAGTTCTCAAGAGAATTTTAATTTTTATCCGGTGCAGTAATCTCATGTCACTTTAGTAATTTTTTGGAAATTCATTGTCCAAAATTTCCAACTCCTTCTGCTTAAGCTGAATATTTAGGTATGAAACTAGGAATCTAAATAAAGTGGCCAGATATTCAAATGTGTTTTACAGCTGTAATTCCTGCTTAATTGCATGGCATTTTTGGGTGGTAAATGTTTAATGATGGACAGGCACTTATATTTAACTACATAAGTAAAGGGTTTAGGGACCTAACTTATGTGCAAGTGTTTGAGTTATTTCTGTTATGAATAGTATCTTATTAAGAAATCCATTGAAACAGAGAGATTTGACCACACATCCATACTACAAAATCAAGTTAAGTTGATTTGTGGTCTTATATCTCTTATATCTATCCCACGGAAGAAGCAGCTGATGGACAAGCCACCATTTGCTTAAACAAGTGACATTGACTTCCTGTCCTCTAGTTTCTCTGCTAGGAAACTACACTTCACACATCTTCTAGGAGTTTTAATGAGTTTTAATATGAGGTTTAGCTCATTAATACTGGAATTCTAATGTGTGATTACAAAAAAATACTATAAAAAGGTGACTTCTTTACTATTCTTGTTTCAATCAATTCCTGAATGGAAGAACTTTAAACATGCAATATATGACTTCAATCCGCAGAGCATTTTGGCTATTAATATTGAAAAAGCTGCACTCCTCCCAGGCCCCAAATGTAAATATATCAATACAATACTATGAACAAATATTCTTGTTTACATTGTACAAAGTATACTTGGGGTATTTTTTTGTTTTGTTTTGTTTTGTTTTTCAAACCAAACACATATTGCCATAAGAAGTTCCTTTTTTGACAAAAAAATATCAACTATTATTTGCTGGTGGAAGAACAGGCAGAGATTTTTAAAAGGTTTTTCAACATTTGCCTAAGATTTTTTTTTTAAGTTCTTTTCTTTAATACAGAGTTATTACAGGTATTAGGATAGAGTATATAAATATTAAACTATATAAGCAAAAGACTAGTGATAAAAGTATAGTATGTTTGAAAAACTGATAAAACATTACTATGTTATGCAATCTAGATAATGTCCCAGATATGTTCATGCATTTTTAACACTGCACACTAAGCTTCCCAGGAACTATTTCTGGAGCCAACAATTTCAGAACTGATAGAAGGTTGCAGTGTTGTACACAGACTGTTGCAGTCATTTCCTTGGATGGATTTGATTTCACATAAAATTTTCAACATGTTCTCGTTCTTACAGTATGTGACCATTTCTGCAGAGCCACAGTACTAATGAAAAAGCTTTGAAGAAAACAGTGACAAGATAGAATAATCCTTGCAGAGCCCAAACCCTACAGCATAATGCCTAAGCCCATAGTTGCAGAGGCAGGATAAGGGTTCAGGAGCCTTGAGTATACGTGAGTGCTGGGTTTTGGTCTCTGGAGAGTTTTGAGAACCTCGTCCTCCCTTGGGTCTCTTACAGTAAAGCCTAATGGGAAGTTTGAAGGAAAACTAAAAATTTTCATGTGATCAGGAATTATCTGCACTTCGCAGTTTTAGTATAGTAACCATATAGACAAAGTACAACCTGAATGCGTGCTGGTGTTCCAAACCAGTAGTAATCCTTGCTATTTTTTCCGGTTCTTTAAAATAAAATAATTTCAGTGCACACGTCCACTATTTTGGTTCATATCAGCTACTGAAACTTAAACTATTGAAATAGCTGTAACAAAAATACATTTCTCAATAAGAAAAATGTATAATGGTGACAGTTTCTGTTTCTTTCCATTTACAGTATCTCCTAAACATCAGTGTCATCTGCTCAACTTTGGCAGCAGCTAGATGGTATTTGGATAAGGCTTATGTTACAAGCATCTATTTCCAATGATTGTCAAACTGGAATTTGGAATATGTTCTCTTAAAGTCCCCTAGATTGAAAATAGGTTTTGTCCACAGAGTTAGTGTCTGAGGTATATTTCTAATATGCAGGTTTTGCATTTTGGGACTCAAAATATACTGTCATTTTCAAACAAGGACCAAATCCCACTAACAGGAAATTAAAGACACCGCAATATGCTCTCCATATTTGTACTTGCACTCATTTAATCTCTGCTTTTAGTTTAGATATATTAAAGTTAGGATACAAATATTCTGTCTTTCATGTGTGAATTCTGTTATTTACAAATACAAAATGTCATGTGCCAGTATGCCTGTATACCTCTCGCAATCTGATGTTTTCATCTTCATCTCCTAAAGCCTCTGAGTTCTATGTCTATCCATACAATTAAATAGTATTTTCAACTTAAAATTCCATGAAATAACAACTGGACGTTCTTCATCTTCTAAATGTAACACCTGCATAGTGATAATTATGCATATAAAAAAGTTATATATTTATACTGAGTAGACTGAATTATTGATAAGTAAAGAATATGTCTGTATTTACATTTTGGAAGTACATTGAAACCAATATAGCAGAAAAGTGCTAAATGTATTTTTCCATACTACTTGGCAGCTGACTGCTGCTGTTCATGCAAATTCTGCCCAACAAATTTGCCCATCACAAACTTGAAAATGTCTGTGTTGTTTTTGAGAATTATATGTGTGATTTTCTGTAAGGCACTTTTCATATGCAAACATTTTTTTTTGTCATAAGAATGGAGGAATATATTGAAATCCAAATTACTGTATTAGTTCAATATAAACTTAGCTACTACAGATGAGTAGCCATAAAATTATCAGTATTTTAGGAAAATAGCTAATGATTAAGAGCAATTAACTATCTTTTTGTGATTTTTACTTGGTGAACTGGTACATGCAAATAGTATAGAAATGGAAGTCAAAAAATGTAACACTACTCATATTGTTTCTTCAGTCAGATTTTTTTGCTTTTAAGAAGGTAATAAATGTAAAAGTGAATTTTCTGAAGGGGTCATTAAATGTCCCACAAGTCTGTGAGTATTTAAATACCAAGTTCATAGAAAAGTAATGGTTTCACTAGCTTTACCAAGCTTTTTTGATTTGTGAGTCTTGCTTCAGTTGAAAGGAATTGTAAGCTTTAAGAAAACACTTTAGCAGGTGACTTCTATCCAATATATGCCTTTTTCAGCAGCTTACATAACGCTGGCTTGCAGCCAAGAGTCAGGTGTGTCAGCATAGTTCTCTGCTGAAATTACCATGCTCAAATTAATGGTCCTTGCTGAGAAACCTCAACTTTTTTAGAAGTTCAGGATGATACTTGTTTTCCTTTAACCTGCCTGATAAGAATGAAATTATTTGCGTTTCTGATTTGCAACATGTACATCATCTGTATTTTCTGTCTGCAGATTTTCCACATGACGTATGATCTGGCCAGTGCAGTGGTGAGAATCTTTAATCTCATTGGAATGATGCTCCTGCTGTGCCACTGGGATGGTTGTCTACAATTTTTAGTACCATTACTCCAGGATTTCCCACCAGATTGCTGGGTGTCCCTAAACGGTATGGTTGTAAGTATTGTTCATTTTTCATTGTGCTTTCTAAACATTACTATTCTAAACAGTTAGCTTCAGAACTTAGCTTCAGAACTTAGTGTAAAACTACATGTTTAGTAATATGCTGCCCTGCAATTTATTCAAAGTTACTTCTATATTTTATTGGCTCACTTGCTAATGAACTAAAGTTTGTTTTGCAGTCCTTATCATCAATACCATGATATTGACTCATGGTCAGTAAATGAGCCAGAAAATACTTTCAGTTTTAAGGTAATTTTAATTTGTTAACCCTCATTCCCTAAAAAAAAACACCAAAAGAAATATGTAACACTCAGTTCACCAGTGGTTTCAGTTTAATCTGTAGTTTCAGAATGCTCCTGAAAGTATATTATTGCTGTTTGCATCATCTAATGTTATCCTCAGTTTGTTTTGTAAATAATGTCTGGGTCATCTCATGATCCGTTGTTCCCATCTTAAAGGTCAACATGAAATTTTTCTAAGTAAAATAAGATAAATAGATTTAGTTGTATGATACTCTTCTGCGTGGGAACAGAATGTTCAAGGACAGAATGTAACTGTGCGTTATTTATAAGGAAGAGTAATGATATTCTTCTTAAAGGACAATGGCTGTGAAAAATATATTTTTTTATCAAGTCAGATACCACAGCAATATAGAGGACATTTTTATTCATACTACACTGAAAAAGTTGTTGAAAAGGGCTTATAGCAAAAAGAAGCAACCCAAGCAACTCTCTCATTGGACATCTGAAAACATGTGTCTCTCCAGTTTTTACAATCTTAGAATCCATAAACCAGCACTGTTTACTGTAGATGGGCATCTTGCTCAGTCCCTCGTATTTCTATCATAGAACCATAACAGTATTTGTTCCTTTAGGAATGTGATACTGCACATTAATGTGGAAGCTCCTTGACTAAGATTGTCAGTCATAGAGACAAGTAGTTGCAGTCATCAAGCAACATCTTTAATGATAAGCAGCATTTTGGTGACACCTCATTGTGCTGCTTTTCTGAAAAAAAAAAATTCTGACATATCTTCAGATATGGGATTGCTACAATAAAAGTAGGTCAGCATAATGCTGACTGGCACATCTTTCCATTCTGCTGTATTCTGGGTTCTGCTTTCTAACATCTTCCAGTCACATTTACAAAGGGTAAATATTCTACCAGCTTTTTAAAGATCTGGATGAAAATCGTTCTAGCAAGTGAAAGGAAGGCTTGGATTACACTGAATTGAAATATTTAACTTTTAGAGAACACTGAACTATTATATTCTCTTTACTCCTTAAGAGCTACGTTCAATAAAAAAGGCTGTAAACTCTATGTATGTGCTCAGACCCTTCTTTCAGCTTACCCACACTCAGGGTTTTTTTATGGAAACAATACTCTCTTCTTACTGACCACATACTTCTGGAAAGGTCCTTTCTGAAAGTTGCGCCTTTAAAAATTTTTTGTCAGGCTATTGAATTTCTTCTGTTGAATGAACATAGGGGAGAGGTCTGAATATAATGTTCACATTGTAGGCAGTCTTTTAGGCCACTGGCAAGAGAAAGAGTTGTGGACTGCCAGCCTGGAATCAGAAGCATATTTAAGACACCTCTTGAGGAAAACATCTAGATGTTTGCTCTGACCACGTTGTGGTGTTATGAGACATTTCATGGTTGCTTTCCATGCTCTGAAAAATAATTCTTTAGCACCAAAAACAGATGGAGAAGCAGTCATGGAATCAGCCCTCTAAAATAATAGAGGAAATAGAACGATGGTAATGATGATGATCATGGTTATCTGCTTTTCTAGTATATTCAGAATCTAACTGACTGCTAACTTTAGAGTTTGGAAGGGCTTCATGCTCCTGATGCTACAAGAGCTTAGGCAAGAGGGGTGCTTTACTGCCCTCATATACTGTAGCCTGTAACGATCTAATCTAGTCTGAATTGTAAAACTTTGTTAATGAAGTGACTGCATGTGATACTGGGGTTTGGACTCAAAGTAAAATTTTAGACTTATTCATTGTGATTGTTGGCTTGAAGACTTATTCAAGCCAATGTGTGCTCAGCCAGAAAAAGTTAGTTTGTCTAAAATGTAAGCCAGTTGTGAGCCAGAGCATTTGCAGATGATGTGATGATAAAGAAAGTGAGGATGCCATGAGGATGCTGTGCTGTTTCCTCAGTTGACACAGCCTAGCCTTTTCTTCCAGTCCGCAGTTCCCTTCTGTCTTGCATATTAGTTGCTTCAGGCTGCGGAGTGGAAGAACTTCTAAAAGCCTTCTCCTGAAAGCTGTTTCTTCTCTTTGAACTGATACGTATTCAAATTCCATAGGCATGCTCGTGGGTTTCCTTTATAAATATTTGTAAAAAAAATACATAAGTTAAATTTAATGTCACAAAGGTGTAGGAAAATGAACCGAAGCTGCAGTTTGCTTACTTCCTCTCTGAACAATGCCACTGAATGCAATTAAAGTGAAACAAATTGGTTGGATTTTTATCTTTGAAAGGATATTAGGAAAGTCATAGTGCAACATGAAGGAGACTATAAAATTGAAAGCTCTCTCTGTAAAAGGAAATAGGATCACCACTGGTTAATACTGTACCAACCTACAGCCTAAGTAATTTAACAAAATATGTTCAGGTCCCATTGGTATACTCTCTTCAGTAATAATAATTATGACCCCATATTGTTTCTGTACTCTCAACTTAACTCTTGGACAGTTCCTAGCACTGGCCTTCATGTTGCTGTGAAATGACTGCCAGAGCTGACATCTTCCTTTGATTGATGTGATCCCACTTGCTCACTTGCTCACTTTTGTATCTTTATTGCCATTTGATTGTACTGACTTTACTAGTGCTGAGTACTGTGGACAGGCAGGATCTTATGCTCTTCCAGAATATCAATGCACTTGTCTTTAAAAATAGGAACACTGGTAAATATAATATAAAAGTAAGTAGCAGCTGTTTTTCCACCTCACTTTAAGCCATGTTTGAGCCAATCCACTACAGACAAAATAGCAGTCAATTACCCCTATGAGGGAATATGGCTCTTTGATGGCTTTCCTAGTTTTTTTTAACACTAGGATTTCATTCCAAAAAAGGTCTTTTCTGAAGACCTTTCACAGACTTTCCTAAAGATGCTCCCTAATTTCCCCCTGGCTCAGAAAACCTATTATCTGCTGCTCCTTGTGTGATTTATCATCAGCTTTCTGATCTGCATTGCTTTAGACTTCCATAATGACTCATAGACCAAACATCTTTATAATGCTTCAGAGTTTGAGGCAGTAGTTCCTTAGAAAATTAGGAGTAAAACTTGCAATTGAAACCACAGAGGCACAAAACCAGAAAAGCACAGTAATCCTCTTCTATAATCACTCTGTGCAAACCAAGATTCTGCATTTTGCAATCAATTTCAGCTGCAGTAATTGAAAGAAAAGTGCATGACTCCCAATTGATGAACTGTTACAGTCAGGTCTTATATGGGACAGGGATTCTAGGCAAGTAGAAATGAGAGATGACATTTTTGCCATTGATACCATCTGGCCTTCTAAGCATGACAGCCTGCAATAAAGCATCCCTTGCAGTAGATCATTAATAACAGTAACTGAAGATTCCCAACCTATATTTTCCTGCCTATATTTGCAATAATTTGTTGTCTGGTTAGCAAAATGTATGGTCCTTTAAGCAAGGTATTTTCCTGGTCTTTACAGATATTTCATTTATAATGTTCCCTTTGTGAGACACAAATCTAGAAAAGAGGTATAGAATTTAAGTTGAATGGTGAGTTTTTTAAAGCCAAAAGCAATTTTAAAGCTTTTGGAAAGGCTTTGTTTTGCTGGCATTTCTCCTGGCTGTCAGTCAATGTTTGCTCAGCAAGAACACTTCAGGTACTCTGGTTTTTTTGTTTTATCTTTCCCTTTCTGTCCTTGCAGTTGGATTGTTTGCATGTCTCAGGTTGGTTTAGGTTTGGATTTGGTGAAGGGGATTTTACATTGTATTAACGCCCATTTGTGTCACTTAATTGCCTCAGGGGCAAAGGAAATCAGATGTTAGAGTTCAGATCTTCATCTCTGATGGCATCAGCATTGCTAGAAAAAGAATTTGGAAATTTTTGCTGTAGAATCTGAAAGTCTCTCTCATTATAAAATGAATTACTTAAATGAATATTTGATGGGGAAATTCAGAGATGGTGAGGATTTATAACGCTCTGAGCTGTACTAATATATATGTAATATGCAAAAAAGATATTTAGTAATAACACCCAAAACTTGAATTTTAATTCTCAGCATTTCTTACTAATGGACACCATTTTCAATTACACAATCAGTTGGGTTTTTTTCCCAGTAAGATTTTTGATTCACTTAATGGAGTGCAAGGAATGCATTATAGTCATTTGATGTGTTATTCTGCATTGGGTTTTCTCCTTTTTGATAATGCATCAGTGTAGCACCTTCTTCCCTATAGCTGGCCATCAGAGAAGCTAATTTTCTCATGAGATTTTTCCTCATTTGATCATGATGTGATAGTTATAATTTAGAGTTTCCAAAATGTTTTTGAGTATCTTTTTATTATATGGCAAAATATTGTAGAGCCACATTTAAAATATTAGATTCTTCTGATTTCATTTGCAATGCTGAGCAATAAACGCTTATGTAAATCAAATCCAAGAATCTTAAATTGGTTGTTTAAACAATATGGAACATATGGGAATCATCTGATTACTAGAGGCACTAAGGATCTGGTGAGGTATACTACTACTACTCTAATGTATTTTATAGTCATATATTTGTATTTATGTGTGCGTATTTAATTAGAGCAATGCTTCTTGGAACAGATGAAGGGGTGAAATTACCAATCAGAGATGGACTGTGATCAAAATTAGTGGAATTGCCCAAGTCAGATGCTTTATGTACAACACAATTTGGAAATATTGTAATACCAATAACAACAATATATAACATTCTTAGGACTAAGATATCCTTATTTTTGAAATTTACAGTGAATAATTAT